TTTATTTTTTCACTTTCAATTATCAAAATTTATTATAACTTTTTAGATAAAAAAAAAGGTAATTACCCTTTATAAATTGAGAAAAAATGAATAAATCTTAATTATTAAAAATAAAGAGATAAATTGTTAATATTTTATATAAATATAGTGTGTAAAGTTTACGTGTGTAAATAGGTTTTAACTCTTTACATTAAATTAATTTTTTTTTGTTTTTTATATATTAAATCGAATGAATGATTTTACATGCACATGAATCAAGCATATTTTTATTTAACAATATAGCAGTCGAAAAAAGAGAGGCTTGTATAGCCCTAAGAAGTTGCTAGCTAGACTAGAGCAAACAAACAATTAATCCCCTGTATGTTCTCTTATCCGCTAGTGATTCCTTTTCTCAGTGAATCTCCTCAGCCCCTCAACTCATCTTAGTATTTCAACCCGGCTATATTTGGAATTCCAGTGGCTTGAAGCCAATTTTCACGAGAATTAAGGAATGTCTGAACCGTGAATCTCATTGCCGTTGGCCTATCAATCACATGGTACCCTTTCCAATTAACCCTCTTGGAGGTATTAGCTCCAGGGCCACGGTTGTTGTACTCAGCATAGTAACAAGTGTCAAGAGCGAAGGTTCCTTGCCAAGGCATCCATCCGTCAGGTTGGATAAAATCTCCCAAAGTTGATTCCATTACAACAGTTGTGGAGTATTCCTTCCAGGGCCTGCCCAGGTATGTTCGGATCTTGAACCTGTCGACGAACAGTTTCTCCTCAGGGACAATCCTGCAGTTATGAATAACTATACCAGTGTTCTCATTGGCCTTTTTTTTCCCATGTGCAGTAACAGTGTTCTGCTGGTTATCCATTGGCCTCCTGACTATGATCAACGAGTTTTGGATAACGGTTGGGGCGTCGCCGAAGATGAAGTCAATGGTACCAGATATGACACAATTTCTATAGAACTGACGGTTGGCATGCGCATACAAGGTGTCTTGGTACCCATCAAACCTGCAATTGAAGAAAGCTGACTTGTCGGATGAGGATCGGAAAGCCACAGCCTGGTGTCCTTGAGCACCAGCAGTGTTTTGGAATCCCATGTTCTTGGCAATGAACCCGTCTCCAATAGCAGCTGCATCATTTTAAAAAAAATATACAATTAAAGTTAAGAAGTGATATTCTTTATTGTTTAGTTTATCACTAGAGAGCGTACCATAAAAATTTGAAGAAGTAATGTCCAATGTATATAATTTGAAATTAAGAACTTACAGAATGTGGCAGTTTGCATGGTTTGGACTCCATCAACAAAGTTCTTGCGACCAGTGACAATGGTCTTCCTAGAGCCATCACCGTACATGAGCACATTAGTCATTTTAGAATCAACCATGATGTACTCTTTGTAAATACCAGCCTTAACATAGATGATATATCGGCCCTGGAAGCCCTTGGGGTAAGCAGCAAGGGCTGCAGCAATGGTCTTGAACTGGCCACTGCCATCTTGTGCCACGACCGCATTTGGTTTAATATTGCCATTGTCCACCCGAGCCAAAAGCTTACGATCGGCGGCGGCAAACCATTCAGGATATTCATTGGAAAGAAGTTTTCGAGAGGTGGGGACATTAAACTGGAGACCAAACTTGGCCAGAATATCAGCTAATTTTGTTATAATATCAAGAGCATTGGTGGTGATTTGGTCGGCGTCGACAATTCCCTTTGTCATCGTGTCCTGGGTCGCTTCGTCCTCAGCAAAACCATCCAGGCAGGATTGTTGGTAAGAAATAACAGCACTCAGCCATGTCCTAAGGTCATCAATCCGATCACTGAATGTATGCAACTGAGCATCACCAACATCCGATATTGATGCTTGGAGTGACTGTTGGGCCAAGTTCATCAAATCTTTACAGTCCTCCAAGGCCATCTTAGTACGAGAATTGTTGTTAGCTTTCACGATCAATGAGTCGGAATAGTTGAAGAACTTCACAACCGCATCCTGGGAGGCCATTATAGCCTTGACAATGAAAGCTTTGGGATCAGTACTATTAACGGAGCTGAGTGTTTTTTGACAAATTTCTTGATAACTACTAGAGGCGCAGAAATCAGTCACGGCCTTCATTTGTGGGGACAATTTTTCAGTGTTGTTGCTGCCATTGCGGTGGACGACGGCAACCACACCAATGACAACTCCGACCACTAGAATGATGGAAACCACCGAGATGGCTGCTTTCGCTTTCCCT